TGAATTGTGGTGGCCCCTTTGCACTACGGTGTTTGTCTGCCTTCTGCCAGGGATGAATCGCAGTGACTGAAATGCAGAGGAACTGGATGCCAGCCTTTAGCCTTGGCACATTCATTCTGCACACCAGCGGTAGTATGCGTCGATATATATGACCCCTAATAAAGCTGGAGAGCACATCTGGGCTGGATTGAAGGATCCAGTGAAGCCTCACTTAAATTTATTGTGGATTTGATAAATGACCAGACAAGCCTTTCAAGCTGTATGCTGTTAATGTAAACATTATCCCATAGAGATGCACCGATACCGATATTCGGATCAGTATCGGCGCCGATCCAGACCTATTTGATGGATCGGGTATCGGCCATGCGTGACCGATCCACGTCCTATACTTACTTATTTAGTTTTTGGCAATCAATCGCACGACAGCTCTTTCCCATTTTACATGTGTTTTTTGCGGTATTCAAATCGAACTCAGTGGGTGTGAGTACAGTGACTTCCGCCTGCTCTGACGTCATGCACATAACCTTAGCAGTACGAGGAGCGTAAGATAAGACGTGACGATCTGGGAGTATTTTACACTTTTAACAGAAACCAGTAGCAGAGCGATTTGCAATCTATGTAAAATAAAGTTTTAAGGTGGGAATAGCATTTAATGGACAATCCCATTTAACAAAGCACACGCAACTGTGAGACAAAACAAAGCAATGGATGATTTGGGAGTCGCTAACTTAATTGGACTGTTTTGCGAACTCGCTGCAGCTTGTGATACAAGAGGGGCTGCCATCGCAACAAAAGTGCAACTGCGCTGACGCCAATGGGAGAAAAACATAAAATTTTAAGCATTCGCCACTCGTGTATACAGTACTTGCTTTGAAGATATTCATATTGAACTGCAAATGCATCAAAAACGCTTAAAAGAAACGAGGGGGAACAGTACGTTATGTATGTTTGTAGTAGCCTAATTAAATATTTAAAATTTGGAGGCTAAGGATGACAGTAAAGGTTTCTTCCAATATTTTAACTCCAAGAGAGCTCTAAAAGCTGAAATCATTCATTTGCAGGATAGTAAGGGCCTTATAATTGATAACGAAATTGATATAGTAAATGAGTTTAATGATTATTTTTCAAGGGTGTTCACAGTAGAGAACACAAGTAACTTACCACCAATTAATACGAATACAGCATCGTCTATGACCAATATATGTATAACTGAGGTTGATGTGATACTAAATCTAGCTAAACTCAAAATAAATAAATCGCAGGGCCCTGATGGCATCTTACCTATAGTCTTAAAAGAGATGAGGGATATTATTAGCCGAACCTTAACTTTACTGTTTCAAAAATCCTTTAACTTTAATATTCCAGAAATCGTTATCTGCGG